GGGGGGCAGGGCAATGCATATTCGGGTTTTTTTTCTTGGACTCGCCTACAGACAGAAATGGTGTTTTCTGAAATGACGCCAAACAAATTGTCTGACGATAACAGGGATATAGTAATGATAAGGGAAAAGTTGACAAATTAAACAAAATAAGAGCTATTTCTATCTACAATGGAGCATTAACATTTAACCTCTCGCCAAATTAAAATTTCACATGTTATATTAGTGCTCTACTGTTACACATATTTTGACTGCGAGGACAGAAATATTGTACAGGTGGACTGCACTGTAAGCTCTGTGTGACGAGGAACAGGGGAACAAACCGTGCTGTGAGGTTGGGTTTGCTTTTACTCTTTATGAAAGAACTACGCAGCTCAAGAGAGCTTTCTTTCTTCTTTTACTCAGAAGTTGCCCCTCCCCCCCCCTCCCCCCCACACACACACAAACACACCTTCCTTCTCAATTAAGGATAGCTTATAAAACATCCCTTATTGTTACCACTTCTAACGATTCTTGTTATTTCCTCGTCATTCACCTGGAATTGCCTCGAACAACATGCTAAAAATAGTAGACTTCTTTTTCACAGTGCCCCACTGAATGCAGTTCTGGGGTTCTATGTGCAACAGTAATACAAATATTTATCATTAGTATTTTATTACGTCTTATTGTCCTTTATTTCTGTTTTACCCTCATCAGCCTTAAACAGGCAGTAAACAAAGCATTAGCAGTGGCCAGCTCTTGACTTTATTTATTATTAAAACAGCCCCGCAAAAAAGGCTCAGTGTCAAATTTGTCAAGCAAGTACCGTATGTTTTATGTTTGTTTAACCAGGATTCTGAATTTCCGCTCCGATTACAGGTTTTTAAAAACGCCACAAAACCAGGGTGGGTTAGTCTTGCCGTTTTCTTGTTCAGATTTAACAGTAAAACACGACGTATTTTTATTTGATTCTTGTTTTACTTTGGACGTGAAAAGTATTGGGAGAATGTTTGTGCCTTACAAAGTATGATGCTTCTTGACTTCAAAATCTTAGAAAGTCTTGGTCATCATCCTACACTCACCCTTACCCCCCTTCAAAAATCAATCCGGTATCTCCTAAATTACACAAATTATTTATTCCGCTTGTCAGCTAGCGAGCATGTAAAGAAGATGAAAAACAATCTGTGAAAATGTTACAGTGTTTTATTTCTTGTGATATCAAATACAACATTGAAGGTGTTCATTCTTGTGTTCTTGATTGCAACAATAAATGGAATTTATTGCAACAATCGGCGTACACTTTATAGTTTTGTTTACGTTTGCATAATTTTTAAAAAGTTTATTTCGGGCTGCTGAACGTTGGCATGAACACAAAGTACTCCCACCCCCAACCCCCAACCCTCCTCCCCTCTCCTCCTCCATCCACTCACACTCCCCTCTGGTCAAAGAGGATTGAGAAGAACTTAATTAAATAAACCTTTACTTCACACCAGCAGGAAGAGTTGCAACTTGTGAAATGGTGTTTAGGTTTCAGTGGACATTGCTAAAGAAATAACGGCCATTTAGTGCTTGGGGGGGGGGGGGGGGGGGAGAAAAAGAAACCCCCAAAAAAAAAAAAAAAAAAAAAAAAAAAAAAAAAAAAAAAAAAAAAACGCCAGGGAGACAAAAAATGCAAGATAAGTGGGGTAGTAAAAAAAAAAAAAAGAGGTATAACTTACTTATTCCAACATATATTTCAATTCTGCTTTCTTTATCTAACACTTCAAAAGGCAGGCCACGATATGAAAGCTATCGAGGATGCAAATTCGTGTATTTGATTTGTGTATAATTAATTGCTCAAAATGTGTGGCATCATTGCCTTTGGTCTGCTATTAATTTATTAATCTTATGTGTCCAACACGTCGATATAGAGTTAATGGACGTTGAAAAGCAAACAAACGTTATTGGCATTCAAGAGCATTTCTCCAGTGTTTCTTTACACTTAACGGCGTTTTAAAACTTTTTGTACTCTGTCGCATTGAATACATTGAAATTGTTTATATTATGTTCCAATTATTGGTGCTTGTATTGTACGACTTGACAGGCTGCTTTCTGTCACTTTGGGGTGGTTGATAAAATACATTGAACGTTTATTTATAGCAAGGGCAGGTCAACATTCTTTCCTCTTCGTATATTCACGTTTGGGTTTGTCAGTTTCTGTCGTTCAGAGACTTCTAAGAGAAAATATTTTGTTGTGTCTTCATGAATGTTTGTGTGTGTGTGTGTGTGTGTGTGTTTGTGTGTGTGTGTGTG